TCATGGTAGGAATGTTGTGCTAATTAGATGGTATATTTTTACAGGCATATTGTTATTTTGTATTTTAGTTATCATTTCCAGCTACCAATGTGCAAAATGCTGTACCACAGCCCAAGAAACTTTTGTTCTCATCTTTGTTTGTTTATAATGTGGGCACATCAGTTGCTGTCCTCCAGCCCTCTGAAAAAGTACCTCTGGGGAAAATACCTTTTTCTTATATAAGGGAGGGTGTTTGAAAGTAAAGACCAAATATGTTTGTCATACTTTTGGTTATCTTCATCTATGTGAAGATTAAATATGGGGACATCTGCATATAAATTATTTATAAAGTGATCTTTTGATAGACTGACGATGTCTTTGCTCTGTGTTATTTGGAATATACTCTGCATTGTCTGTTGAATTTGGTTTGGTTTAGATGTACGTGAGAATTTGCACTTGCTCACTTGCTCTCTGCCTTTCTCTCTTTTATTTATGCATGATGGACAGTACTGATTTCTAATCATGCCATGTCCATATTACATCAGCAGATATATTGACTGTGTTGTCTATTATTTTCAGGCACATGGCCATGGAGGGTATGATTCTGACTTTAGTGATGACGAGAATGGAGAGAAGTCTGTGCAAAAGACTAAAAGGTAATGTAGTACAGAATTAACACTTCGCATTATGTCTTTTGTGCAAATGGCCTGTTACTCTGTATAGAAGATTATGCTGTGGTATGTAAAGTCCAGTGTTGAAATGTTTTTGAAAAATCAATCTTTTTGTTTCCTGCATCTCCTCATGTCAAGCTTGCCAAAACATGTTGTCTCCCAGGGGCAGCTGATTAAGATCCATTCTGCCATGTCCATCTGGTGTCTCTATGCCCCTCATTTCTCCGAGCAGAGTGTTTCATTTTTCCGAGCATTAGTATCAACTGCTGGGGCTTGGCTGCACTGTTCACTTCACTGTGATCCATCAGGACATGTGGAACTGCTAAGAGCAAGGCAAAAAAGGCCAAGTGGCAGCAGGCTTTGTAGGTATAAAACACCTGCTTGGAGGAAGTGAAGAACTGATGCTACTTGTTTATTATTTAATTTGTGAAGAGACCTGGGAATTGGTGAATTGTGTTGTACTCAATCTATGAAATGTAACTACACATCTTTTGTTTGAAATCACCTTTGCCAATTCTTACAGTGGTTTGCACAATTAGTGACCTTGAATTTTGTAGTCTGATCTCATGATATTATGAAGATTTTATTTGTGTATTTATTTTGCTTTGGCGCCATAGTCCTTTGACAGTTTCTGCACTGTACTGAACATTTTGCCTACATTATGCATATATTTTTCTTACCTCTTCCTGTCTCTCCCTTTCTCTGTTATTGGACTTTATTTAAGAAGGCTTTCTGGAAACTTTCCTAAGACTCTTGCATATTTTCCTTTATAGTAAAATTGAAAGAACGGCTTTTGTAGTATTTGACTGCATTCTGGGAAAAAATTGCATGTTTTAATCATTGGAATAATAGCAGGCATTGTGCTGTTCCATTTATTTTATAAATATAGCTGTTCTCCATTAAAACAGTGACTGGTTTTGTTCAATTTTCATTTTCTTTAAAAGGGCATTACACATTATACCATTCCATTTTCTACGTGGAATATTAACTAACCATCAGGAGCCTTTTAAAAATATCATCATTACCCTTGTTCTGGCACACTACTACTGATTCCCAGTAGGGCTCTTATGTGCGTTCACTGTATATGTATATATCCTTTTCTTGCTCTATGATGATACTTGTTTTCACTTTAAGGAAAACAGTAGTCTTAAGCTTTCTGCATATTGCTGTTTTATGGAGTCTCCTTATGGGAAATTTGTGCCTACAGATCCTCTTTTGAGCAAATGATACTCTTAGTGTCTAGAGTCCTATATTCCATAGCTTGAAATATAAATTCCCTGGCTTGCTTTTTACAGGTTTCTGACTTGCATTCTTTCTGCCAGCTGGTAATTATGGAAAAATCTTTTCTTCACCTCTATTGAGGAATGAAACTAACTAACTAACCTTTTACTAGCTAAAGCGCATCACTTTATATTTAACTTTTTATTACTTTGTTGAATTCTGAAAGTATTTTTAGCTGCCCACAGACAAGTATGGCTGACAACACAGTACTTAAATAAGTTTTAAGTTAGTGATTCTTGTGATTACGGTAAGCAGAGCTGTTTAATGAGTTGTTGAGACGTTAGCATGAACGTATGCAATAGGATTACTAGCAGTAACTCTTAGTCAGTGAACATACTGTCCTTCCTGTTCCTACTTGGCTATGTAGCTGAGATTTATAGAGGACTTTAAATGTAGAGTGAAACTGAGGAATCTTCAGGGTTGTTTTTTTTTATTGTGGTTCTGTAGTGATAATGTTGATAAAAATAAATATTACAAATTGCTGTTTTAAGCAGTTCTCTTTCAATGCTAACTGTAAGCAAATGCCTTTCTGAATTTGTTCTGCAAATAAAGTAAAGTCTAAGCTGATGTTGGTGTTCTGAAGTTTGGTTTTATTCATGTAAAAACTAGCAATATAATAAGTTTTGTTACTCAAGTTAGTGCAAAGTTTGGCATATGGAAACTTTACTGCTTACAAAAAGTTCTTGACTAACTCTTCTTCCTTTTCCCCTCCTACCTTTAGTATAAAGGAAGATGGCCTTCTGACAAAGCCATTTCAAAAAGCAAAACAAGGCAGTGTGGCTCACAGACAATTTGCAGCTGAAGAATGGGATAGGTATCTTTTTTCTATTGCTTTTGTGAGGCACTTTTCCCGTAATGTAGAGATAGCTTTCACTCAAATATATTTGTTATTAACAGGGAAGAAGCAAGAAAAAGAAGATTCCACTTGATAGCAATGGATGCCGTATCCTTTTAATTCATTTTTCCTCAAGTTTGAAGATGGGGCACAGCTTATCCATTATGGTGAAATACTGAGATTTCTCAGTTATCACAGCAGTTGACAGTGCAGCACCAGATATTGAATCATTCTTCAAAATGGCTTCTTTTTGTTGCTGAGATGTCTCTGAGAATGCCTCTACTCAGGCATTTCTAGATTCTTCCTATATATTCATTTGTCCTGTTTGGAACTATATTGTTACACAGTGAATTTTATTTAGACTGGCACAAAGACACTTTGCTCTTTTCACTTGAGGTTATACAGAACATAATTCTATATAAAGCTGCTATTATCTGTGGACAAATGCATTTCTACTGGAAACTTAAGGATGCATTAGTTAATTCAAAAGTCTATTCAAAACAGACTTATCTTCAGTAATACCTTCTACAGATGCTGTAATGTAAGCCTGTTTAATATCATTTGCAGTTTTTTTTAATCTCTTAATCATATTTCATGCATAAATTGTAGCTATTTTTATAACTACTACCTTATTTAGATTACAACCTTTCTCCTTTTATTTAGTTTTTCACCTGGGAAAGTCATTACATGTTTTGACTGAGTGTATCTGAAATACCATCAGTTCCTTGTTTGTTTAAATAGCTGTTCTTCAACAGTAACAGTTAATAAATAGGGAAGTAAAGACTAATTAAATACGGAAAAATTTACTTAAATCTGGGAAGCTAAGTAAACAGAAAGTAACTTCTCCTAACCTGCTTAGAACTTGTCCAGGCACTACATAAACCACCTTATGCCTGTGAAGGGGACATATCTCAATCAGTCCCACTGACGTAGACTGTCATTAGCCACAGAAAAGCCCATATACTCTGGAACGACTACAAAACTCATTGTGTAGAGACTTTTATGAGTTTCTGCCAATGTTTTTGAGCGGTTCCTATTTAAAACCTTTACTGTTACACAATTTTAACTCCTAGTAACTCAAATGGCAGCACTAGATAGTATGTTGTGTTAAATGTATTTAATTGTGCCAGTTAAACCTTCTGGGGCTTGTTTCTCTGCTCATTCTATTTGTGACACATACTGAGGTTAAAGTAACTTTTGGGAGGGGCTTTGGAAAATAAAATGTTTTCTTAATACAATTCTAATGCATATCAAAATAGTAGGTGGATACAAATTATTCACACTGATGCAGTAGTTGCCAGGAATGTACCAGGAGATAATGTATTTCCTAATACGCTGCTTCAGAAACACAATACAAGTTAATTGAAAATATTTTTCAGGAGCCATATATAATGTTTTTATTTGTGAAGACACTTATTTTCTGAATAATTAATTACATATTTTTGCTCAGATTATGGTACAAAATGTGTTTCAAATCATGTCTCAGAGGTCAAAGTGTTCTAAAACACGCCTAACATGTTTTCTTATTCTTAATTTCCAAACTAAAGCAGATACATTTTACCATCAACATACAAATAAAAGTTAATAAATTGTTCCATTTTAGTAGCCAGACTGTTTTTATAATACAAAGATACAAACCTGTTTTAAACCAAATCTGCAGTGCTATTGTCTAAATTAGAGCTGAAAAATTGATCCCAGTTTCTGTGTATAGATTTGATAAAGGAAGACAATTGTGTACATGTCTGGTAGCTGAATGAGGTTTTAAAGATGAAATTGCCCTGAATTCCTGCATTTGGAAAGTACCTTTTATGAGAGGTTATTAAGTAAAAATTACTAATTAATTCCTTTCTTTGTGGAATTACTGAACTGTTTTTGAGGAAAAAAACCTGCTGTTAAGGATATAAAAATTTTTTATTAATTTTTTAGTTTTAAACTATGGTAAAATAAACCAAGATAAGTTAAAAAAAATCCTTAATTGCTTTATTCAGTATGAAAGACATAAAAAGTTTGTAAGTGACTACATTTTATACTATGGTGGCAAAATAGAGGATTTCCGACGTTCTGGGTAAGAACCGTTAGCAACCTTTCCCCTCACGTCCCTGAAGCTCCCTGTTATGTAAAGCCATTGCTATATATTATAGCTTTGGCGAGAGAGGGGAATGTGGCTATGTATGAAATTACTAATTCTTTTGGTCTTAAATAGTAACTACAGTCATTGTAAATATCCAAAACACAGTATTGCCTTGCTTCATTTTGCACCATTATTTTTATATAAGAACTTACCATGAGCTGAATTACTCTTGTTTTGTTATGTAAAAGGAAAGATGACAGGTGAGCATTAATTGAGGGTACATTGAGAAATATCTGGCAGTACCTTCAAAATATCAATCTGAAATACTTTTGAAATGTGCAGAGTCACTATCTGTTGTCCAGAATAATGATAACCTTCTTTAGAGCTATCTTCTAAAATTACTGCCTTCAATAAAAAGTATTTTCAGACAGGATCAAGTCATCCAAGTTTCAGTGGCCATTTTCCACTGAGGATTTTTTTGTTTGGGAAAAGGTATGCCAAGGAATACACTTTTGATAGTTTTATTCCATAGCAGTATATTCCTCTATGCAGTGAGGTGGGGATCACAACTGTGAAATACTGATGTTTACCAAATCGTTATTTGACTGACTTTTCATTTTAATGTTACATTGCACTAAAAAAATGTGTCCTTTTATAGAGCAAATGACAAGACGGATCTTGATGTTATTAGAGAAAACCATAGATTCCTGTGGAATGAAGATGATGAAGCAGACATGAATTGGTACCTGGAACTATTATTAAACATGTTATTTTTAGATCACTTGCACTAAATTCGTGGTGTCCCCTACTAATTAAGAATTACTGTGCATACTAAGTGATCATTCTTTGATCTTCAATGCATTTAAAAATGAAAGGCCTTTAGGAGGTCTTTCATATTGTAATATTGCTTGATGGCAAAATGAATTGATGACAGAAAGAACTAAGAAATATCTGTGCGTTCTCTGAGATCCAAATGACTGTTCTGAAAACTCTGAAGGAAGCCTGTTTCAAAAAAAATCTAGTTTAATTTATGCTGTAGATATATTTTAGATGTTTGGAGGTGTTTTTTTTTAATGGCAATAATACCTTAGCTCAATGAGTGTATTTCTGTTGCATTTCTAGCTCTGCAGCTTGTGTTCTTCACATGAAACAACATGTCTTTGTCTTGCTAATGTCATTACAATGTAAAGTGAACTGTATCATGTTCTATATTTAATAAAAATAATGCCTTTTATTATAGGGAGAAGAGGCTTGCAAAGAAGTATTATGACAAATTGTTCAAAGAATACTGTATAGCAGATCTCAGTAGATACAAAGAGAATAAGGTACGTTTCATTACTGTAAATCATCTTAGTTTTAAAGTATGTTCTTTTTAAAAATTGCCTTATGATTGTGGATATGTTGTGAAACCAGGATATTGGTACCCCTACCCTAGAAAGTGAGTTGTGAGAAATTGTCAAGTTATTTTATAAACAGCAGCAGTTTGAATCCAAGCATTGTCACTGCCCCAAAAATGTGCTTCTGTGGGAATAGGAGCATTTCTGTCAGATGGTGTTTTATGAAGAGGTACATTGTGTCTAAGGCGGGCAGCAAATGCAGAGAGGTTAAGGAGAGCAGGCTGGACAGGTTTGCCTCGAGAGAAGCACTAGATGAAGCCTAAAAAAACCCTGGGAATGTTACTGTTTTAAAAATAAAAATGAGAGTCTAAAAAGAGAGAGTCTTGTACTTACGCTGGCAGAAACAATTTTGGAAATGCCTGTTCTAAAGCAGTATCTTTTGCTGGTTGTTCTTTTCTGTTTATGGAAACAGGATTTGTATGTTCATTGTAAATAAATAGAATTTCTTAAGAGAAAGAGCCACATTCCAGCACCGATTTTTCTTCTTAATTGGAACAGTTTTTGTCATTTCCAAGTTTTTGACTGACTAACCTCTTAGTCAAAAAGAATACATGAATTTTCTATTGTGATTTTGCAGAGTGTTGCTGAACTCGGCTGTGTCTTAGTGTTGTTAGCACATAGTAACAACCCAGCCCTTCAAACAGTGTCTATAAAAGTTCTTTGAGACTATTTATAGTATTGAAAATTACATTCACTGGTAAATATTTGCAAGGACTAGGCTTAAACTCTAATATTAGGCAGTAAAGAAGACAGCCTTCTAAAGAAAATCGAACAGAAAAATACAAAAATTAAATGAAAATTAACAAAAAGGAAAATGCTGAAGAGGTCTTCCGTCTTTTTTTTTTTTTTTTTAAAAAATTTTTAGTAACTTTGATTTTATATTCCTACAACTGTTTCATATCCCTCAATCTCCAACCCCCCAACTGATTTTCCCTTGAGCATGCTTACAGATTTTGTTTCTTTCGTTACTGTGCCAAGTTTCCATATGTTTGCTATCTTATGTGGGAAACTGTTCTGCCCCAGTTTCCTTTTTTTTGTTAGGGTTTTTTTTGGTTGGTTTTTTTGGTGTGTGTGTGTTGTGTGAACAGTGTTTCCCTGTCAGACTTCAAATGTGGCTGTCCTAACTTGGAGGTCGATCTGAATTCCTATTTATGCTCATAAGTCATTACCTATATTCTTGGAATTGCCATGTTCGTATAACTCTACTGTATCATGTAAACTGTTCTCTTAGATTATACTTTCTGTTCTCAAATACATTCTGACCATGTGAGAGTGTTTTCTCAGAAATTATTAGAAAAATAGAAAAAAAATATTTTTTTCTCAATTATTGATTTATCCATGCCCATGTTTGGTACAGAAGGATGTCAAAGCAGGTTTTTTTCTTGGAAGTCAGAAATAGGCTGCTGATCAGTTCCCATTCACACCAATGGAATGCAGTCTGTGCTTTCAGATTTTTCCTGCCTTGATTCATTTACTTCATTTCCAGCAATTGGAAGTTGACTGTCTTTAGTCCCTCATGCCTTCTTTTTGGCAGTGCTGGTGCTATGAGAGGAGCAGGGTGGGTAACAAGCTTCTCACCTGGCCAACCTTTCATCTGGTAGTTGTTGATACTTTATATGATGGTGCTTCATCTTGATGTAAGAAAGAAATTTTTTTACAGTGAGAACACTCATTCACTGCAACAACCTCCCCAGTGACCTGGTAGAGTCCTCATGGCTGGAGGTTTTCAAGGTGCAGTTGCACAGGATGCTAGATAATCTCATCTAGGCTCCCTTTCCTGCGAAAGGTTGGACAGGATAGTCTTTTGAGGTCCCTTCCAACCTGGGCTGTTCTGTGATTCTATATGCTGCTAGGTGGTGTCAAAGTAAAGTTGCAGATCACTTTTCTGTGTTTTTTATATATATACATATATGTATGAGCCTTGCATATACATACCTATCTGTCTTTTCACAACTGTAATTGTTTTGCTACTAGCCAAAAATCTTCAAGCCAGCTAATTCTTCTAAAGACCTCTGCATAGAGATTGTAGCTCAGATCTCATTTAGAACTTTTCTTCTGAGAAGAAACCCTGTTTTCCTAAGTTTTCCTAAGTACTGGTTTCATCAGAGGGGCTCTCTTGAGGTCTGAAAATTAAGCAGAGCACCTTGTCAAAGACCAAAGCTCAAAAGAAAACAGTAAGAAGCCCCAAGACATATGAACCCCCAAGGCTACTGCCACACTCCAGTTGCTGGTTCAAACTGTTTCACTCACATACACGCAAGCATACGCACATAGGCACGCAGAGAGATGGCTGGGGCTCCCCTGATCTCATAGCAGACTCCCTGTGCTCTCATCCTCAGAGATACACAGCTACTCTCACACCCAGAGCTGGCTAGGGGAGACCCACTCACCCTCCTTGCTCCCAGGCCACTTCACCTAGCTGATGTCTTGAACTTCACTGGTGCTCACACACTCACTTGCACACCTGCGCTCATCTTGGTTGCTGGCACCACAGGTCAATGGGACCCTGTGACGCCTGATCCCACTTTTTTTTGTGTAGTTAGGACATACAATCTTTTAATGGGAAATGCCAATGTGACCATCTGGTGTGACGCTACTTAGAGGCATCTTCCAGTGTGCTCTGACAGCTCTTGCTTGTGATCGGTCTGTTACTCCTTACATTTTCCTAGATCAGAATTTTTTAGGTCAAGGTTGTCTTTGAACCTTCAGTGCATCTTGTCTGCAAGCTTTGAGGCAGATAAATGACCATCTGTATTGTCAGATAGTTTAGTTCTATTGTCAGTTTTGCAATGCAGTAAGGGAGAGTGCTCTGCATGTAAGTTTTTCTTTGATATGCATTGAACTGGAAATGTTCTCTTCTCTTTGTTGTCTTATTTTCCTAGAAAAGTTCTTATTTGCTGTCTCTGTGCTTTGTTTTGTAGCTTAACAGATTGGAAATGTCTCCTGTTTGCTAAGGAATGAAATCTGTCTGACACCTGGTCATTAAACAGAATGCATTTTATTCTTTTGTTTTTATTTCCCAATAATTCTCAGATTTCTGGGCCAACTTGTCTTCCACTTGGTAATGTTAATATCTTCACTTTCGTCATTGTTTTTCAGCATGGAGGCTTTCCTGTGAAAATAAAAATATTTAACATATCTATGTTATTTTTCCAAGTGTTGTCTAAATTCATACATTTCTCTTTTCTGAAAGAGATGTCTGTGGACTTGTTAGTTGTTGCTACAGCCAATGTGTATTTCACAAGCAGTCCATATTTAATTTGAGAATTTTATTGTTTATGGATATTAAATGGTCTTTCACATTTTTAAAACTATCATTTCTTAAGTTAGCCATTTGATACTCTGGTAAAGCATCTGTTTTGCAGTTGTTCTACTTGGTCTTCATCTACCTTGTAGAAATAGCTCATTTAGGGTCTTGTTGAACTCGTTTAACAAAGAAGATGAGGCAGAATAAATGCTATCTGCTGATGATACTTTTGCATTCCTTAATACTGCAGGCTGACTCTTCAAGAACCTCCCCTAACTTTTAATTTTTCCTATACAGTTTAATCTGTTCCTGATGTTTTAGCTTAAAGGCATTCAATCATATTTTATTGTTTCTTCTTAGCCTTGGTCACTCTCTGTCATTTTCCACTAGTTGGTGGAAGAATGATTGGCAAAAATGGACGCGGATAAGGATGACTTTTGTCCTAGATGTACTACAGGTGGTTCTGGCTTCCTCCCTTTCTTTTAATTTGCCCTTTTTTTCTTGATATCATTACGGAAATGCTCTGTAAGGGTATAATCTGATTTGTATCTTGTTGAGTCAAGTTCGGACTATGAGGGAAAATTTGTATGAAAGTCTACTTCACTAGCAAAAGTGAGCATGGATAATTTGGTGATCGGTGAAGTAGCAGATGGACTATGAAAACGGAAATATGGAGATAAGGTTGAATTGTTTTCTACTCTTTATTGCCAGCAGCACACACGTGCAAAATTGGTCCCAAAATACCATTGACATTTAATCGTATTTTTCAATTGCATCGTAAGCTTTTCAGAATTCAAATACCCTGTAAAATGGCAAATACCCTTTCAAAGAGTAAAACCAGTTGCCATCACTCTTTGGATCAACTGGTTTCTATCATGAATTCTATGTTTACAGTTGTATTTTACATTCTGTTTTCACTGAACTGTTCAGCACAGTTCTTGGTTTTTAGAATTGATTAATTTTTGTTTGGCTGAAGCATCAGTGGTACAATGGTACGTTAGACCACACTGCAGATTTGTAGAGCAGGCCAAGCACAACCTGATCCAGCCTTAGCAAACTGTGATCATACACAGTATGATAGCAGAACTTGATATTCTCCTGTGATTTTTTTTTTTTTTTTTTTTACCAGTGAACCCAGCAGGTGTGAAAACGTTGTTTATATTATAATACCAATTTGAAAATTAGTGGAGTGATTTAGAGACACAAATACTTTGTTGGTGTACAGTTTTAGTTTTCTTAGACATCTTCTCTGTAACACATTGACTTGGGGAAAATCAGTGCCAGCAAAATATTTGGCTACTGATATCTTTCTGCTCATTTTTTTCAGCTTTGTTATTAAGATGCAAATAATTTATGTGAGAGCATGGCACATTCCTAAAAGCCATAACTTTTATTTCCCTGTTTTTTTCTGATGCTCTTTGAACCACATACCACTTCATGCATGAGAACTCCATGCTGTTGCCCTTCAGATAAAGAATTATTATGGTTTATTAAACCAGCAATGTCGAAGAACATGTGGAGCAATAGATATCTGTACTTCTCTACAGTGTTTAAAATTAGATTTAAAACATTGAAAATCAATCCAGTATGTTACAGAATTCATAATTTGTGTGGGCTCAGTCTGTGAGTGTACCAAGAGAAGGTTCATCCAAGGATGCTTTGGAACTCAAGTGCCAAAGATGGGCTTTGCAGCCATTTTTGTACCTGTTTGACTTTGTTACCCTTCTTTTCCCTCTTCCCTCTTCCCTCCCCATCTCTTAACAATCAGTTCAGTCTTCTGTGCTTTGCTTACAGGTCAGCAATTTTATCTTCTTGTCATCCAGTGTTCATGAATTTTAAATGAAAATACAAGATAGCCCTTTTTGGAGAAATTGTATGCTTTTTTTTTTTTTTTTTAATCCCCACTTTGTACTTTTTAATGAAAATAACATTGTTTTCCCAGGCTGTTCTGACTCCCTTCCATCTTCAATCTTTTCACTAGGCTACTTGCCATTTTGAGAGGATAAAGGAGAAAACACAAACAGTGGATGATTTATCTACATGTGAATTTTCTAGGCAATGTAAAGAGAAATACAACTTAGTTGTTAGGATTAATTTTTTTTTGTCTTAGTCCTTAGGGTGTTAGAGGTGATCCATTGATACATGCTAATATGACTTTTCAGTATTCCGGTGGTCTTCTCAGTTTTTACTGTGGACAAAATTGCAATGAAGTATCTAGTAAAGTCAGTCTATCCTAATTTCCTATTTGTTCTTTGGCCTGCTGTGAAGCCTTTTAGAAAGTTGCTGTTCAGTACTGAACAGCATCTACTGGTATTTGAATTACATGTGTAAACTGGAGTCCTTCTGGTGAGCAGAGAGAGATATTTTATATTAACAGAGAAATAAATTTAAAATTTATTAACTAGAATTGAATGGACAAACCACATGCAGAACATCAATCAACTGAAATTAGTCTTTACGTTACTGAATACGTTCACTATTCACAACTTAATTTTGGTTCTTATCTTAACAGTTTGGATTTAGATGGCGACATGAGAAAGAAGTAATTTCAGGAAAAGGTAATGCTGTTTTTCATTTCATCTTTCTACTTTATGCTTTTCTTGCTGCTTTTTGACATAATTTTGTTAGACATTATTTGACAATACCAGTAAGTTTATCAGATAATAATGGACAACAAATAGGCCTAACTTTTAACTTTGCTGTTTCATGCCACATAGTTCTGGAGTGCATACTGACCTGCATATATTAAAATTAAGAGAATATATGATTTCTTTTCACAAGGTCAGATTTGTAATGAACACCAACGTAATGCATTTTGTAATGTAGAATTTAATGGATTTGGTCTTAGCTGCTTTTCTCCAGTAGTTCTGTGTTACCTCATTAGTCCTTTAATTGAAGTCTCTCAATACCTTTCCTCAGGAAATAATTTTCTTAACAGTTTCTCCAATGCTGTTTTGCAAAATGTTAACTTTTTAATTGAAGTTCCATGTGTGATATCCGTTTTAAGCTAAATTGGTTTTGAAAGCTTTAATGGGAATGGTTGTCATGTCTCCCGATCCTGTTTCTAGATCAATAGCTTATTCTGGCTGTTTCTGTGAGTTCTTACCAATGTGTTATTGGGACTTTGCACAGTGGTCCCCATTTCATGGCCTAGGCATGTGGACTATTTCAAGTAGCTGACCAAGCATGAAAATTATGTGAATATATTGCTGTAGCTGTGGGTAGATCTTCGTACACATGTACGGTTTTCATGCATGCACGTGTAAGGGAATTGCATGGAGTGATATTGTTGATCAGAAAAGTTCTATAAACAGGGATATTATAATATATTACAAGAAGTTAGAAATATGCTTGTTTGTAGAAAAAAATAATTGTATCCTATTTCACAGGAGGAAGTGTGAACATTAATGGTGTTTATTTTGTAAACTGTAAAGATTAAAGCTCCTAAAGGTAGTTGTATTCATATGTTGCATTCAGCACTACAGGTTATATTAACAGATAGGTACATTTGATGTAGTTACATGCTTTATCGAATGTTTTAAAAAGATAATTAGAATTAGAAATGAGTAATTTATGAACAATTATGTCTTTCTGGGGAAAAAATAATTTAAAGCTGCATTTTATTTTTAATATCTGGTACTCCATATTTTAAAATGTTGGAGAAAGTGCAAAATTACATGGTTTAATCCTTTTAATAAAATCCTAACGGGAAGCGTACAACTGGAACATAAGAAATGAGCAATAGTCACTTCACCACTAAGGGGCGCAAGAATTCAACCTTATCCCGTGTATTAGACACTCTTTTCAAGTGCAGTGTCAAATAATCTTTTTAAAAAAGACATGAGTCTTTAATGCCTTTCGCTTGCTATTTTAAGTATAAATCGGTAATATCAATTGCTTTAATTAAATTTAATAAAGTATTAATACCTACCTGTCTGATACTTCACATTATAAAAGGGAGAGCATGTGCTTATTTTAGCTGTGACGATAATAGTGGTGATGAGAACCACTGCTGGTGGACTGTCGTATGGTTTGGGGTATGTTAAGAAGGGAACATAGGCATGGGTTACTTGCATTCGGTTACTTTGTTTTCGATGTCTGTATTTGTGTGGTCATGGAGAAGGCGGCTTACGATGAGCGAAAGGAGAGGTATCACTTGTATTAGCAGTTGTAAATGCCAGCTTATTTCCTTCTCGTCTTTTCCTTCCCACTCCAATCTTTTTGCTGTAGGTGTTTTGAAAGGAGGTCATATTGGAGATTGCTGTTGCATCTCCTTAAATTTAAAATGTAACCTTAATGGCAGTTAATGGTGTAATACGTTGCCAGTTTCAATAAATGGTTCCACAAAATGGGCTTTTTCTTAATTAAAATCTTAAGTTAATGGAGAAACCCTACTTTAAATTTTATAAATCAGTGAATAGTAGGCATATGAGTTAGTCTGAAAATAAAACCTTAAAATGAAAAACCTTTAAGCTATTTAAAAAATATATTTGACATGCCTTCCCAAGTACTTTTTCAGTGCTTTCACAGCGTGAATAGTAAGGTATGGCATACAATTTTAAAATAAAAGGTATTTTAGTCAAAAGGCAATAGTGGTAAAAGTTTTCTGTAGGAAAATAGGGAACAAGTTCATTGGGTAAAGGTGAAATAGGACTTTTTCAGCAACATGCAGAAAGAGCAAAGCTGAACATGTGGGCATATTTGCTCTTTTCTACTTATTTGTGTTTGTAGATTAATAGTAAAATACTCAAAACACGCATATTATTTGGCAAAATAGGGTTTAATACCTGCAAATTGATCTACTCTCCATTTTTTCCCTATTTCATTGAACTAACGTTTCACTTTTAGCATAATAGTGTCTTTCTTAGCCTATTTTATTAAAAAAATAACCAATATTTAAACAAATGTTCTTCCAAACCTGTTTCCATTTATTTTGTCTCAGTAATTTCCTTGATGGAAAATAGGCAGGATATCAATACCTGGATAGTACACCATGTATCCGTCTACCAATCTGGTACATCTGAGTTCTGATCAAAACGCATTAAAATCAGTCTTTTGACTCTCTAGGTTTACTTAGTATATGTAATTTTCAGTACTTCATTTAGCTTGTAGTACTTATATTTTCCACCTATTCTGCTCTTTTGCAAGAAGCAGAAGGTGCTAATAGTTTTTTAACAGCCAGATTATAGAAGTTATAGTTCTGAGCATGAAGGCAATAACTTCCATGCAGCTTATAGCAAGGTGACAAAACTTCAGATGGAAATGGAATTTTGGACATACATTTTTCTTGCTGATTAAATTAGCTAACTGTCCACTTGGCACGCTGGTTTCTATGTCTTACTTTCTTGGACATCTAACTGTGGGAAAAGTCATGTTTCAAGTACTGAATAATCTGGTCCACAGTTCCCTTTGATTTGGGTTCTTCATATACACCATGGGGATTATAATGATCTCTTAATTTGCAAAAATATGTTTTTTTTTAATGCTTTTATGATATTCAGATATACTAGAGTGATAAATACTATTGAAAAAGCCTTCAGAAAGATTGGAATTCTGTATTCAAGTATTCAAGGTTTGAATATGTGTTGTAGGGATTGCAGCGTGAAATGAGAATAAGAGAAGCCTGGCTGTTTATACATATGTATGACACAGAGCAAGGTTCTACTAAGAAAACCCCCGCTATGATTTCAAATGTTTAGATGATCGTAAATGCAAGTAAATGTGTAAGGGCACAAAATTATGGTGGTTTACACAGTCAGTTCTGGCTTATCTAAGAATTCTTTGCTTGCCTCAGCAACCTGAAGATTTTGTTCCAACTATATTCTTGTGAACGTACCCAGTTTCACATCCAAAATGGATTTTACGTACTGTAAAGAGCAGCTAATCATAAATAAAACCGATGTATCTCTCTTTTCTCTCTGCCTGTTTTTCTGGGTTTGCTTCACATCTTCTGAAAAAAAATCCCAAAACAAACAGTCTGAGTAAGTTCCAAAAAGTTTTGTGCAGTATAAATTTTTTTTTTGTAGATTTTTACTCCTTTATAACGGATATAAATTATTCCTGATGACACAGGGTACTGATAGCAATACCTTACATAGTTAAACATATTTAATGTATATTAATTTGCAACTTTTTTCTTTAATGGGAGTCCTGGGGGTTTTGTTGGTTCAAGTGTTAGCATTGCAGGTGGTTTTATATTGCAGAACTGAAGTATCTGAGGACACTGCCAATCCATTAGTTAGCAGCTTAAGCAGAATGTTCTGAGGTTAATCGTTCACCAACAGTCCTGCTTGTGAGACTATTAATACACATCCTTACTGCCAGCTCTGCATACAAATCAGTCTTCTGCAAAGGGAATATATATGTCTTTTATTTCTGCAATATTGGGAACCCAGTGGTGTAAACAACACTGATTATGTGCTAATTGTTTTAAAACTAGTGTTGCATTTAACATAATAAACCCAAGGAAGCTTTTAAAGCTGCCGTATAGTTTCTCAGAAAATTGAATTTCCTTTTCTTAAAAGAAAAGTGTTTATGGAAAGTCATTAGAATACAAATTGTATGTCCAGCATATCAGGTAAACTGATAAGGTAATAAGAACATGGGCATCTTAATTTTGTACATACATGATACTTTGAGTAGTTTGATGTCATTAAAGATGAATGTCTGAATCGCATCTCCTCATCCATCAGCCTCTGCTGAGTAAGTAATCATTTAGGATACAGAATGTATCCTAGTGACATTCACTTCTTTAGAGTTCAGTATTAGGCTTATTATTTCCTAATATATGCCTTCATCTATACATTGTAAACTACATTTCAAGTTCTGTTCTTTCTTTGCAAATATGCAATATTAGACAAGTATCATTGATTGCTTTGTCATTATCTGTTATTGTTTCCTTAGTCTAGATGCTACGTTTAGATTTGTGCTTTTTTATTTGAAAGAAGTGGAAAACAAAAAGCAAAAACTGAGCAAAAGTGGACATAACTCCAAACCTATGCTTGTTAATCACTGAACCACAGTTTGCTGTTTTTGACCTCTTTAAAGGTCAGTTTTCCTGTGGAAATAAGCACTGTGATGAGAAAGAGGGCCTGAAGAGCTGGGAGGTGAATTTTGGTTACATTGAACATGGTGAAAAGAGGAATGCACTTGTGAAACTGAGTAAGTCAACCCTTCAAGGATATGTACACTTAAAAGAAGACAAATATCTTGTGGTTTAAAAGCTATCGAGTGAGACCCAATGATAATGATACCAGTTCACTCAAAATGGAAAATGCTGAATAGGAGATAATTTTATTAAATTAATTACAGGTAGTGTGATGGTCTTGATCTAGAGAGAATGGCTAGTAGCATTATATATGACAAAAATGTTACAGATTGGGCACTTTATACTGTATAATTGGTGGGGTCATAAAATTAGAATAACTGATTTTAAGCTGTTTGGTGTACAAGCATGTCTGGTTTTAACAGATGATACTGCATTGCAAGGGGGGTTTCATCATTGTCATTGCTTAATCAATTACCTGGCTTAGGAGTCCTTAGGGCTTTGGGCCGGACAACTTCTTTGCACACCTTCAGCTGTACTAATTTTATTTTTAATACTTATGTTTTCTTCCAAAAATTCTAGCTTGAATTAAACCACTTCCTTTTCCAGTCTTGTCTTGAGTGGGATTTTCTTATTCAATATGGTGTACATTTTGATATATTCATCAGATAATTAAACTTACCACAGTTTACACAGTTACTTTGTGTAAAATAAGCTACGTCTTTTATGCACAACATGCTCCGTGTGGCAGCACTTGGTCTCTGGTGAAGCTCCAAGAGACTTGTGTGTCTTCAGTATAATTATAGAACAATTTGATCTGTCCACAAAGATCCATAAAATGAGCTACCTGTACATGAGAAGCACTGATACTTTTCTATGAAGAGTTGCCAATGCTAAACAGGTTTAGTAAAATCTGGGTTTGTACTGAAGACTTTTGTCATGGTATTTTTCTCAACCCTGGCTGCAATTACACTGCAATTTTTGTTTTGAAGGAAAAGCTACTGAAATAGTGTTCTATCTAGTTTTATATCTGTATTAATGAGTTTTGTTAATTATGCTTACCAAATACGTGAGTGTAGTATTCTCATTCTCTCCTTTTCAGGACTATGTCCAGAATGTTCTTACAAACTAAACTTTCATCACAGGTAATGATTTTTTTTGTTTTTTTTTTTTTTTTAAATAAAGGGGTTGAATTATTGGTAGGTAACAGTTATGATGAACAACAAATAGGGGGAAGACTTCAGCTAGATCATTAGGAACTTCATTTATGCTGAAATAGATTCTGTTCTGGAGTTCTTACAAAGTCACTGGCTTGACACTGTTGAGAGTTATTGTTGTGCTAATGAAAGCTCAAAACCCCTCAAACTGGAAGAATCCCATCCCCACCCCCACAAAAGTTTTCCTTGCTTAATTTCAGCCCAGTGATTATTTTTCTTTTCTGAAAGTTTATGCAAGACACTGTCCTTTTCCCCCCCCCCCTCTTGCTGTGTGTAAGAGCTGGAATGCTTTTCCTTTTCTGGTTTTATGTGTGAGTCAGGTGACTGTGCTTTGAAATTTTGAATTTGAGTATCTGTTCTTCTTTGAGAATCACATATTAACAGGAGAGAAGACCCGTGAATTTTAAAGTTATAAAATGTATGCATTAAGATTCAATTTGGTTTTTATTATTATCTATAATCTTACTGAATTCCACAACTATTGATACTCGGTTTGGATGATTTTCTGAATCTCAGTGTAGTATTAACTTTGTTGCACAGCTCAGTAATTAAGCCATACAATTATCTGAAAAGCATATGAAAGGGAAACCTTTGAGCTAGGAAATGATGATTTTTATTTTAAAGTAACACATATCAAAGGTGCAGCTAGATGGATATATTCAAGATAGTTAATTCATTTTACAAGTTAATTCATATTCAATTTCATTAAAGCACTGTGTAGGCACATATGAAGAAGGAGAATTAACTGAGATTAGTTTGATTTGTCTTGCTTCTTTTTGCAACTAAAATTGTAAAACCACTTGAATTCAGAATAAGCGTAGTCAAACATTTTCTGTTTGTCAACTGCAGAGTAATACTTTGAAACAATTTTAGTGACTTCTTTGTGCAAAGAAGCAGAAAAAAGTTAGCCTATGTTTATAGAATAAGCCTATGTCAGTAATGCTGAAAATAAAATACATGGGTTGTTGGTCTGCAGCAGGTTCTCAGGCTTGAGATTCTTCTATCTCTGGTTTTGTCCCTATCAAATATGAAAATATGTTTTTAAACCTGTATTAACTGTGTTTTTTCTCGTTACATATATACAAAATCATTTGCTAAAAAGAAATACAAGATTTCAATATAAATAAGAATTTGACATCTTATAAAATTTTCTGTATTTAATCTTTGATTGCCAATTCACTGGTTTTGTTGCCTGCATCAGTGTCATTTTAGCAGCTTTACCATTTCCTGTCTTTTTTTTTTTAACCTATAGAGCTCTAGTGTTTCTATAGCACTTTTCATTTTAACTAAATTAATTTTTTTTCAGTTTAGCTAGTGATAGGTTTCAGAAAAAAGACAACTGTTTGACTGAATTAAATACTTAAGATTTACTGTTGCTTGACGAGTACATATAATAAAGAAGGTGTACATTCATGTTTCTTAAAGGAGGAAAGAAGTCAAAGCATGCAAGAAAAGAGGCACAGCTATACCGAACTCTAAAGAGCCAAAAATTAAGAAGACAAAATTATCTTGTTCAGCAAAAAAGAAGTCCAAAAAAAAGACCCATAAAGGTAAATGTAAATTTTAGACCTTCAGTTTTTAACATATTCAAATACGTCAGCTTAATCTTAGTTTTGCTATAGCTACATATGTATAGATATGTAATTATGTATAAGTATAGATATGTAACTTTCTTGACTGTGTAACACAGGTAGTTAAAAAGATAAATTTCTTAGGTAAAATTTCCTAGGTGCACAAAAAAGATAAATTTGGAGGGGGGGGAAAGAAAGATAAATTTCTTATATTTTACAGAGAGAGTGATCCTTCTGAAAAATATGCATTGCAAGGAAAGTTTGTCCAAGAATTGGACATTGCATACCAGAAAGGGTTGTGAAGTATTTAATTCCTTGAGCCTTTGGGGTTGAAAGACTTTTGGAAATGTTAGATAACCTTTTTACACCACAGATCTCAGGATAACATATTTGAGCTCCAACTGATGACCTTTGAAGTCATGCCAAAAAAAATCTTTTTACTTCAGTGTTTGCTTGCCTTTGAATGTGCACGTATTTACGTGTAGTATTGTGATAGAAATATCCTTGTAAACATTTTAAGATAACGGATAATTTTAAATGTATTTTAAATGGTGTTTGTTTTCAGATCAGGTTTCTTCAGAAGATTCAGATAATTCTGATAAAGGTAAAGTGTTTGAATATCATTTGCATTTTATGTTTTTGTAATAAGTTGTATTATTTCATGGTCATTTGTCATTGGTCTTAGTTTTATTCGCTGGCAGTTGTACTATTTTATAAGATAAGAATGCTGTGTGAAAACAAGCAGAGATATGAGGGGTCAAAATAATTACTTACAAATTCTTGGAGACAAACTGCTAGGAAATTTAAGAAGGAAATATTTTAAGTGTAAGAAAGAAATAAACATGTGGGCAGATAACAGAATGGAAATAATCAAAAAAATGAGAGGTCAGGTTGTTCCAGAAAAGAGTAGAGGGTTCAAAAGTAGGTACGTTGTTAATAATTGAATGGGTCCAGGTATGCAAATATGTGCTGTGTAAAGTGTGCTGTGTTTAAAAAAAAAAAAAAAAAAAAAAAAGTACTTCTCCCATATAATAACTACTACATTGCCTTTCAGGGAATTATACTAATATGTGCTCTACTCAAAAAACTGAATAGATTTTAAATAAATCCTAGACTTTAACTGAAGTCTTTTCCGGCTACCACCTGTAGTACCCCAGAGACCTACTTGTTGCGGGTCGATGCACTTGGAGTCTCAGCAACTCCTCAGGCACCAGTTGTCTCTGTATCTCAGTAATTCCAGTCCTCAGTTTCTCTTTTGACCAAACAAGCCCCCTCTCCTGGTTGCGCCAATTCTTGCTGCAGACTGTCTAGAAGGGATTGAGTGTTTCTGCCAATCACTCTGCTGTGCTATACATTTTTAGGAATGTCCTCAGCACCTACGTTTTCCCAGCTAGATACAGGAAGACCTGAAGCAGTTTACTTACGACTCAGACTATGCCCTAAAGTCTCAGTGTTGTCAGGAAAGGCCTATTGAAAGATTGGGAGGTTTTAGGTCAGGGCATATTTCTGATAAGTTTTTTTGTTGTTGTTGTTTTCACTCCTTATGTGTACTTACATGAAACAGTTGTGCAGTAATCCATGTTTTCTGACAATTTCACTGATAAGTTACAGTTGATGAAAGTTGTCATTCGTTAATATCATGAGTTTGAATTGTAAGTCTGGGTTTGTGATTATAAACCCTTAATTTTAGGAACAAAGTGATGCACTGCTGTTGTATTGGGATCAGTGTTTTGACATGATTGCTGTTTTGTTTGGCCAAAATATTAGTTGATGATATTAAAGAGTCTTTTTGATGTTGTATTGAATAATATTGGAAAATGTTTTCATTTTTACTTTATGCAAAATAAAGTGTTCTTTTTATTCTCATGCTTACAATTAAATGTTGTTCCTAGCATTATGCCATCTAAATAAGAAAAAGAGAAATTATTTTAAAATTTATTTCATAAGTACTTTGAATTTTTTAACAGATTCACATAACAGTGATGCACAAGATGGTCCTTCAGATGCTGACTTTTGGAAAGGTCCTCTACAAGAAGCAGATGAAAAATCACGGTTAGTTTGATCTAGTGAACTTGTAGCTATTCAAACGTACTGTGTCCATTCAGAGCTGAAAAGGCAGAGATTTTTTCCTCAGTGTTTTAATGAATGTTCTGACATTTAAGTTTATGTCAGATCTTCTTCCATGTAGTGAACCTAAGTATGTGTTTTTAAAGAGGAGACATATACAACACTGGAGGAGAAACCTTTGTCAAGCCACTGCTGTCTTACCCCCTACAATACCGTTAACTATCTTAGAAGTAAATCCTAACAGTCAATTCACAGCTGTTGCACAGAAGGGGAAACATGAAGGGTATTGGAATGTATTGAATAAGTCAAAGTGGTCTGTACCAGCTACAAATTCTAATCAGAAGTCTGCTGAATCTTGTTCATACAAAGATTTTCTCCTCGGTACAGATCCAAAGCAGAACTTTCTTTGACTTTTTGTTTTGTTTTTTTACAGTGAGGAGGAGTTCGATGAGTATTTTCAAGACTTGTTTCTCTGAAATTTGACATTGAGGTAGTCTGATCTTCATGAGTTGTCAAGGTGAAAGTCTGGAAATCCAGATATAATTGGGGACCAGAGACCTCTTTCTGCCAGCATACCTTTTCTACAGTCACTCATATGGACCATCTCAGTAGATTATCGTTGTAGAAGGCTTCAGGTATAAAAACTTTCATTTTCTTGTGGTAGGCTCTATACTCATGAAATAAGAGAAATAATTTTTTCAGTTCAGTGCAAAAGATACATGGCGCCCAAACTTAAAAGTAGGAAGGATGTAAACAAACAAGAATATAGTTTATTGGCAATACATTAAGGAAGTTGGCTGCTTTTTATTTTATCCCAAACTTCAGTTATTGTCAGACTCTTGTAAAGGGGCATTGTGGAAGACTCTGTTATTAGTTTAAAGCCATACACTGTAGTATATTCATAGTTAGAATTTATTAAACAAGACCTAATAGCCTTAAACTTGTTGGTCATGTAGACTTTCTAATATTCAGGTATTAGTCTCTGTAAGTATTTTCAAATGCTATTGGCGAAGTTCAGTTTTTATCAAATAATGTATTTTTCTTGAATTAAGTAAACTGTATCTGAAATGTCTCCCCTACTTCTTAGAAAAGTTTAGTTCATTGTGACTTTGTTTTAAATTTTATTTATAATATGATGTAACTGATAATTTCACTGAGAAAAATCTAGTTGGTTGGTGAAATTTTTGATGTAAAAAAATAAAGTGTGTGGCTTTCTACTAGAGATGTACCTGTGACTTGTATGTTATCTGTGGTTTCTGATCTCCTTAACGTTGATTGAACGTTAATCCTTCTTTAAAGTGAAATCCTAAATATACAAGTAAAGAATGTATATTGCTTGAGAAACTTACTGGATTCATCTTCCTCTTCAAATTGCAACACAACTTTAAACATTCTTTATTTTATGCTTTCAAAGAAACAGTCTGCACATGAATAGTTACAGTGGCTATTTTCTTTGTCAGGTGAAAATTACTCTGGATATAAAGGACAAACTTTTTAATTTAAATGTTCATGTTAATCTGAGGAAAGTTAATATTGTATAAAATATATTTTTGATAAGTACTTCCCACTGTAGATATATTTATAGAAAGTATTTATAGTAAGTATTTGATGTGGAAAATGTAACAGCAGAGATGGTTGCAGTGTATTTATGAACATTTTACATGTATCATACGAATGAGAACTCTATTTACAAGTATTACTTAACATAATTACATTTTAAACAGTTTGTACTTACATAATCGATGACAGCACAAGGACATATTTAGGGTGTCCTTGAGTAAGAAATAAACGTAGCCTTGCTTGAAGGCTTCTTTAGGTAAGAAGGTGGATTTAAAGGTTAATTCTCTGTCATCTTGCAAGCTTGGTTGAGAGTCAAATCCAATCTGCAGCAATCTGCTTACGTGTATGCAACTGCCCAAAGGGTCTTTTGTCAAATGTGTTGCTATATTTGTTGCTTCAAGTATTGTATATTATGTGTTCTGCATAACTAACTCCTCTTTGGATCTTCAAAATACAGTTATGAAAAGGTACATTATACATATTAAATACATCATTTAATACATTTTGAATAAAATTACATGATTAAACAACCTTGACATAGCTTTCTTTAGTATCTGCGTTTAATACAGAAAATAATACATGATACCCAGTTTTAAGTCATGACTAAGTTTGCATAAAATATTTGGCTCATTTATAAATAAGGATGTAATAAGTGGGATTTTTTTTGTGTGGATTCCTTTAATTTTGGTTGATAGCTGTACACAGTATCTGTGTTCATAGAGCATTCTTGAAGTTATATAATATGGCAAGTCATTCAATCATTCTCCCTTCTCTGTGGATGCTGAGGGCCACACACAGGGGGCGGGGTGGAAAGTATGGATCTGCTTTCTTTTAAAGGGCGAAGAAAAGTGGCAGGATTGAGTCTGCATGTCAAACAACTTTGTTGCAGGAATTGCATTTGACATCCATTTCCTCTTAGATTTGGAACTGGTTCCAGGGAGTGCTCAGATCCGTGCATAACATACTAGCCATTTTCCTTCCTTTATCTGCAGGAGCCGGCTTTGTGAGACCTGAGTAGAAGGTGTGGAGTGGGCTCTGTTGTTCTTCAAGAACAGAAGGTTTTGGTAGGGAGATCGTTGTTCATGAAGAGCTAATTTGTGTGCAGTCTGGCTTGTTGGTTGTAGAAAGGGAGTTAAGGTGAATTCTGTGCTCTATTTCTGCTGTCCTCTCCCTCCCAAAGTTAAATTGGTGCCAGTTCATTGGTTTTCCATTACTTTCATTTACTGCGTTTTAAAAAAGGTGCATTGGGAGTGCATGAGCCTTTCAAAATGCCTTTGAATGTAGATCCTGCTGTAGATACGCTGGTATAGGTCTCTTAGTAAACTCTTAGTTGTATGCAAAGTATGATGTTTACAGCCTGTCTTTTTAGGTTTTTACAATAAAAGGCGGTCAGTTTAGGAACTGTGGACAGAGCCATTTGCACGTGTGCAAAAGAGAGGTCTCTCTGAGCTATGGCTACAATTTACAGATTTATCCCTAGTAGTTTTGAAAAAATACTGCATACCATGTACTTGCTTTTAATAGATATGAGCCAGGGAATTGTGCTGAGCATTCCTGAAGTGAAGGAGATGTTTACTCTAGAACTTAGAGAGTATTGAGAATGAAGGAAAAGGACGCAATTCCAGATTAAGTAAATACACATAATATACAAATCTAAATATACAAGTTATGAAAATAGCAAATTTTTGTTTGAATTGTACATGTTAGATTTCATTCAATAATTTCATATAAGATCTGTCAAAATTACACATTTTTTTCTGGACACTGTGCAGAAGTTATATATTTTAGTAAAAATGCTGTATATAAATAGTGTGACATGAAAAAATACCTAGAACGCACAGTTAACTCATTTTGCACCATTATTTTTTCTTTTAATTTTCCAGTTTTATATTGTAACTGTTTGTTTACTCCATTAAAAATTGTTTCCAACAAATGGCAAGTGTGTAAGAGGATTGTTAAGAGATTGATCTATACTATTCTACGTGTAGCAGAAATCCACTGGGGCTCATTGAAGTTCTTTCTAGATGTCTTTGCTGTAGCAGAAACAGTGTCTGAGACTAAGAATTACAAAATTATACATGTTTTGGATTTTCCATCCTCTCCACTTCCACCACCTCCAGCTGCATTTTCAGCTAAAAAACAGAGAAGGAAAGGAAAGTGAGTATTTTCTGTTAATTTAGGCGTTCTAATTTCTTGTTAAAAAGGTGTTGCTTTTGTGACATGCATATTATGTGTGTTTGACCTTCTGAAAATTGAACATGCTTTCACTACTTGTCTGGGAAAATAGAATATGAAACAATAACACATGCCATATATACATATGTTTATATAGTGTAGCAGTTGATACAACATTTCTCAAAGGACCAAACACACACTGAACCACTCTTACTGGAAAGTTTCAGTAGTTAAGTATATATAACTCTGTCCCACACATACAAAACTGAGGTATGCAAGCCATGCAAAAGAAAAACTCTTGGATCAATATAATCTGTGAATCTATTTTTGAAGCAGATGATACAAAAACTTTAATTTGACCTAATTGTATAAGCCTTTATCCAACCCTGCATGAATCCCTTTGTAATTACCAATTAAGAGAGAGAAACACTTTTTATGTTTGTTATCTCTGGCTACTGTTACAGTCTCTCTCAAATGATTCCACAGATGTTCACTGGTCATAGTTAAGATTCTTTCAATGTAATAAATTGCGTTTCCAGGTTCATTTAAGGCAAGATACCAATATTAGAATTAAAACTTACATTTGAAAGCTGTGGATCACCATGTTACTAGGTCATTTTCGACCCTTTCCACCTGCATTGAAACATGTCACATAATCAGTGTCCTACCCTCTGTAACTTGTGGATATAATCAACACTATGTTACTAACTATGTATTTTATTTTCCTAGTTTAATACTGTATTCTGTTTTCATTTCTGTTCTGAACTTTCCACTGTAGTGGTTCAGCAAATATGTTTATTTTGTTTTCTGTCTACTGAATGGGTAAGAATAGCCAGGTCAGTGTGATCTAGAGAAACCAGCATGGTTCAGCATGTATCAAATTATTGTTTGTATGAACTGACTTAACAAACCCATATATTTACATGGCCTTGATTTGACAGTGTCACATCCGTTCACAAACGTGCATGGCCCCATTCCAGTACACATTTAAAAAGATGCAAAATAATTCACTTACATTTTGTGATACCAATTATGATATGGAAAGGTCAGATCCTTAGCTCTTGCAAATCAGTCTGTCCATGCTTGCCTGTGTAAAGTTCCTTGTGGGGAAAATACTTCTTTCCTTAGGTCAGTGACTAAGTGATTCCAAAATACCAATGATGTAAGGTGGTCCTGACTTCAAGTGGGAGTAGAAATACTTGAGTCTTCTTAAGTGTATAATTTAATTTTTATTTAAGAACCTTATGCTTAAGGACATAGGATCAGACTTTTGCTTTCTTGGCAAGGAATATAGTTACTAATGTGTAAGGAGATTTCTGTGTAGGTCCCAGGTGGTTCGGTTTTGCTGGTATTTCTTTGAAGTTCAGATGCTTACATTCCAGTGTAAGGAAAGAGTACTTTGTTCATACTCATAACCAGCTAGTTCTCAGCAATAAATTAATCTTCAATAATATTATAGGATTAATTGCAAAAAAAGTGTCTTTAAAAATAAATTTGGGAGACAATGGGGTGGGCATAATTTCATGGTGTGAGCAGGCCGAAAAATCTAATTTTACTACAATAATAGTATTTGACTCATTTTATTAAACTTTTTTTAAAAAAAAAAAAAAAATCTGCTTTGATTAAATCATGTAACTTACACTACTTTCTTAAGCACTTTGCAACAACATTTTAGGCTAGCATAATTTATTTTAGGAGCCAATAACTCTGTAATTCCATTTGACGCTCTGACAGTAACTTGATGAGTGGCCTTGAGTAGCCTCTCTTGTGCGTGAAATGTGAAGAATGCTCACCTATTTCCCACAGACACTGATTAACAAATAAATTATTCAGGACTATTTTATGTTTTAAAGATGTGAAACACACTTAGAGCAAAGTAACTTTTCTTCTTCAATCACACA